AGCATGCATGTTTATTAACCCCAAGAATCTGTGCCTTGACACAGACATTACCCAAGCTTCTCCACGCTGACACACACACACGACGGGGCCACACGTGCACATTTTCTGTCACTCCTCCATGCCTGTGTGGCCAGATCCCAACCATGACCAGTAGTGTGTTCCCGCAGGGCCCGCCGCCTCCAGGTGTTCCTAATCGTGGCACCTGCATGGTTGCAGGGTAAACCCTCCTAGGCCAGAATTGCCAGGACCCTCCAACCCTCCAGCCCAGGTTAGAGCCTCTGAGGCCTGGCAGATTCCCCCTGGGGATGCTATCCCAGTTCTTCAACCTCAGGCTTTGGGTGCCTCAACATGTGAAGAATCCCAGGGCCCTGTAGATACGAGGTAACACCGATATACAGAGAAAGGGAGGGAGGGAGGAGATACTGACCATACACAAGGTCACCGTCTCCACTGTGTGGATGGGGGAACTGAGGCTCTGAGCAGCATAGTTGCTGGAATCATTCACAGACCTGGCACTTGACTTCTGTCCTAATCCACAGCTCTTTCCATACTATTTCCAACGTACAAGCCACAGGGTGGAGAAGAGGGTTTTGTTTTATTTGTTCTGCTCTAACACACATTCACTCGACAGACAGGAAAAGTGAGAAAGTACTCCCAGCGAGGATGGCCACGCTACAGTCCCTTCCTCTCCGTTTCCTTTTGAGATTTTGGGCATACATGCACACGCACTCAGAATTATTTATTTTTATTTTATTCTTCTTCAATCTAGCCAGAGAAACAGAGAGAGAGAGGGAGAATGAGAAAGCAAGCCACCGGGTCTGGGACTCAAACCACAGTTGGTCATGTGGGAGTCCAGCACCTTAACTCCAGCCACACCTTAACTCTAGCACCCCCACCCCCGCCACAGCATGTCTTTCGAGCCACCGGGTCTGGGATTTGAACCATGTAGTTGACTATGTGGGATCCAACCACCTTAACCACCATGCCACTAACTGGCCCTGTTTTGTTTTGTTTTGTTTAATAATTATTTATTCAACTTTATTTATTCATTCATTCATTTTAATTTGACCAGAGAGAGAAAGTGAGAAAGCAAACCACCAAGTCCGGGACTCAAAGCATGGTCGGCCATGTGGGAGTGTCCAGCATCTTAGTCACCACACCACCTGCCAGTCCCTTGTTTTGTTTTGTTTTGTTTTGTTTTTTTAATAATTATTTATTTTATTTAATTTATTCATTTATTTATTTCAATTTGACCAGAGAAATACAGAGAGAGTGAGAGAGAAAGTGAGATCAAGAGTGGAGTGGAGGAGAGGGGGTTGCTGTGGGGCTATCCCCCCCAGAGGGTGATTTCTCTCTCTCTCTCTCTCTCTCTCTCTCTCTCTGTGCGTCTCTCTGGTAAAAATAAAAACAAGTAAATGAATAAATAAAATAAAATAATAATTAAAAAAAATAAAATAATTCTTAAAAAAAAAAATGAATTGTTTTATTAGGGACTGGCAGATGGCTTAACAGTTACATTGCTGGACTTCCATGTAGTTTACCACAGTTTGAGTCCCAGATCCAGTGGCTTAAAACTCTTACCAGGAATGTGTGCATGTATGTCCAAAATCTCAAGAGGAGAATGGAGGAGAAGGGATTGCCATGTGGCCACCCCCTCCAGGGGTGATTTCTCACTTTCTGACTCTCTCTGCCTCTCCAGCAAGTGTATGCACCCTATAACCAAAAAAAAAAAAAAAAAAACTCTCAAAAAATTATTTTAATTTTATTAATCATCATTATTATTTTTATTTTTTAATTTGACCAGAGAGAGACAAAGAGAGAAAGTGAGAAAGCAAGTCACTAGGTCTGAGACTTGAACTGCTGTCAGCGACATGGGAGTCTAGCACCTTAATCACACCACATGCCAACCCCGTTTTGTTTCTTTAAATATTTTTTTATTTAATTTTATGTATTTTTTTTTTAATTTGACCAGTGAGAGAGAAAGAAAGTGAAAAAGCAAGCTGACAGGTTCAAGACTTGAACCACAGTTAGCCACGTGCAAATCCAGAGCCTTAACCACCATGCCACCTACCGGCTCCCATTTTGCTATTTAATAACCATGTATTGAATACATATTTATTGAGTTTACTAGGTATAATACCAGATGCTTTACAAGAATCCTCTCATTTTTTCCCCATACCCTATGGATTTTTTTTTTTGCTATAGGGCACATGTGCTCACCAGAAAGACAGAGAGAGACAGAGAGAGAGAAAGCAAGAAATCACCCCTCAGGGATAATGGCCATGTTGCAATCCCTTCTCCTCCATTCTCCTCTCCGGATCTTGGGCACGCACACACACGTGCCCAGCATGAGTTTAAGCCACCCGGTCCAGGACTCGAACCACTGTCAACTACATGAGAGTCTAGCGACATAGCCATTACGCTAACTGCTGGTCCTGGATTACCCTCTCTTTAAAGTTGAGGACAGTGAGCCCAAGGTCACCTGGCTTCCCAGCAGCTCAGGATAAACACTCCGCTGATTGAGCGCATAACCTAATGAACCCACTGTGCCTCCTACGTGGGGGACAGGGATCATCTGGTGCTCTTGGTAGGACTCTGAGGTTCTGGGGTCATAACACCCTGCAAAGGGATGGCTAACCCAGGAAGGCCTAAGACCACTGATGCCGAGTTCGACCTTGGACCTTCTTGGCGAGCAAGTTGCCGTGACCTTGGGCAAGTCATGACAGGACAGTTGAGTTTTATTTGGGCATGTGTTGGGGAGGTGCTTCTGATTATTTTGTTCGATTGGATGATTGTCTTTCCTTTTTTTTTTTTCTTTTTTCCTTTGAGGGATTTTGCTATTGGGTATGTGTATTCGCCAGAGAAAGACAGACAGAAAGCAAGAAATCCATTGTCCTCTCAGGATTTTGGGCATGCATGCATGTCCCGACCCAAGGGACAGTCGAACAGGTTTCCTGAGGGAAGGAGTGAGAGACGGACGAACAACGCAGTGTTACAACACAGAGACGACGCAGTGTTACAACACAGAAACAACGCAGTGTTACAACTCTTCAGGGTTGTCCGTTTATTGTGGGCAGCACGGAGATGACACAGTGTTAAAACTCTTCAGGGTCTTCAGGGTCCTCTCCAGACTGTGGGCCAGGGATCACGGTTATATACATGTTGGTGGGCTGTGATTGGTTGTAAAAGGTGGGTTATGATTGGTTGCTTTGTGGATCAATCATGAGGTGCTGGATATGCAAATCTGAGGGATTCTAGTGGCCAATCAGAGTATGGTTTTGAAGGTGAGGTTTTGAAGGAGAGCCAATCATGGCCTTTGGCATTGTGTAATTGTTTGCTTTCTGAGAAACCAGCTATATTTGCTGGTTCGCAGTCTCCCACACATGCATATGCGCCCTGCCTAAATTTTAAGCCACCGGGTCTGGGATTCAAACTATGGTCAACTACCTCATGGAAGACCATGGTCCTTGTCAATGAGAGGATGAAGAGATGGTACCTGGGAAAGGGTGCACCTTCCCATCATACACTCAGCGAGGACACACTGCGACCAGCAGCTCGGTGGGGAGGAGAGGTGGACAGGTTACCAGGGAAGCTAGAGGAGCCCTCGGCCCCCTGCTCTGCTTCACCCAGGACCCCTAGGGACAACAGGTTGTGGGAGAGAGCCACAGGGACAGAGGTCAGCAGATGGGATGACAGCAGCAGCAGGGAGGCACCGCAGAGGCGCTCCTACCCAGTGCCCATTTGCCTGGACGCTGCAGTAACCATTCAGCCTCTATTCCCTTAGCCAGTGGCCCCTGGACTCACTTTCCCTCCCAGCACGCCCCAGCTCCAGCCCTGGACAGCCCTGATCACAATCCTCCCTCTACTGCGCACCTCAGTCTCCCTGGACTCCCTGGTCATGCACACAGTAGCACAGGTATGACGACGACACTTTACTGCCCTACGGAAACCCTTCAATGGCTTGAGGCAATGGAGATAAGCTGCTTACCGGCTTAACAGGCCCCTCCCGGCTCACCCACTCACCTCCACCCTGTGCACCCCCATGTGCTGAGCGGCTTGAGGCTCTCACCCCTTCATCTCTACAGCCACTGCATGCCAATCCCGCTGCTGGGAGCAGCAAGGGTCATTTCTTCTATGAGGTCTTCCCTGACCTTCTCCCCAACCTTCTGCTGAGTGGAGCCAGCTCCAGCAGCCAAGCCCCTGGAGACCACCAGACAGGGAAGGCCTGCAGAGCCTGGTGCTAACCCCATACAGAGCAGAGCAACACCACATGGTAATGTAAGCCATGCCCAGAGGTAACAGACCGACTCCAATCTGGACTCTCCGTGCACCTCGGCCAAGGGCCAGTAAGAACCCATGCCTCACTGGGCCAAGAGTTGTCACCACACTGGAAGTGCCACCCCGAGCCTGGCACATAGCACTAAAAGCTCTGCCCCTTAGAGCTGAGGTCTGAACACAGCAGGGCCTTAGAATCACTGCCTGCTGCTGTGTGTGGCTTCCCAGGGCTGGGAAGCAGATGCCCTGGAACAGGGCCTACAGCAGCCTCAGCCCCAAACCCTGCCAGTATTCTGGCTCTTCATCTCAGGTCCCCTGGGATGAGGGTGCTCCTGGGAGATTCCAATCTACTGGAATGGTGGGGCAGGTGCTGGGCCCTGAGGGGGTGACTGGAGCCAAGCTTCCTCAGTGAGGCCAGTCAGCACTGAGAGATCAAGTACGGACTGTCACAGCATGCACCAAGCACCAGCTCCCTTGGCCTTGCCTTTCCCTGAGCCCCCTCTGCACACGAACCCTTCCAGAGCCTTCATCGGCGCTGTCTCAGCTCCCGGTCTGACGCTTAGCAGCTAGCACCTTCTTCGAGGGGTCTTCTCTGCCTCCTCCTTAATGAAGTCAGGACCCCTCCCCGCTCCCCTACAGTCCCTGCCTGCTGCCCATGCAGCGCTCGGCTCAATCTGCGACTCTGACATCAGGCCTGGCCCTCAAAGAAGCAAGCAAAACGAGGAGACAGACACGAACCGCAAGTGTTTACTGCAGAAACCTGGCCGAAGTTCCAGTCAGGTAGGCCCAGTGGAGGTTGGGGTGGCGCCCCCTGCCCAGGCTGGCAGGTGAGACAGGAGAGGGTGGAGGGAGTGTGTCTGGGCCGGGGCCTCAGAGCTGTGAGATGATGTTGGGGGCCAGGCTGCAGGTGAGGCCCGTGCCATCTGGTTCCACGTTCAGGACCTTCACCACGCCATCCTCTATCACCATGGAGAACCTGCCAGAAAGGGGGGGCCAGATCAGTGACATCAGCCTACACCTGGATGCTAGGAATGGCGGGGGCGGAAAGGAAGTAGGTGCCAGGGCCCAAGGGAACTTTGGAAGGACCGTCCCACTCTTACCTCTTGAGTCGGCGATTCCCAAAGAGGGACACCAATGAATCATCTAGTAATAAATCTGTCTCCTAAGAGGAGACAGGAAAAATGTCAGGAACCCTCGAGCTGCTCCCCACACTGCCACACCGCTCCTTCCCTGTCTCCATGGCCTGGCACAGAAATGGCTGCGTGTGTGAGTGTAGAGGAGTTGGGGGTTGGGGTGCAGACTCACCTTCCCAAAGGCCCCAGTAGGGTCAGCTAGGAGCCGAACCTGAGGAGACAGAAAGGAAGGTCACAAGAAAAATCTTCCTACTTGCCCCCACCTCCCTGCAGGCCCTAGACCTCACCTTGCCTTCCGCCTTGTGGGCTCGTCCCCACTCACCAGTCACAAAGACATCATTAACACTCAGACATGCCACCACCTGGACCCCCTTGGCCTTCAGAGCCCCGGCCTGTTCCACAAAACCTGGCAAGTGGGTCTAAGAAAAGGGAAACAAAGGGTTAATGAGGAATTACTATACCTGCTCTTTCCTCTCCAAGGCCTCTTCACTCCCTATCTCAATGTCTTGGATCAGATGAGAACTATATACATCATCCTATTTCCTTTTTTTTTTTTTTTTGCCTTGCCCACTAGGAAGCTCAGATCCAAACTTAACATCATGTGGTCAGGATAATGAACTTCCCCACAGGCAGGACTATGTCTAATTTACCTGAGTCCCAAGTACCTTCCATAGTACCAATCACTTCATAAATAACAATAAAAAAAAAAATGTTAAGTTTCCAGGCTGACATGGTGGTTTCCAGGTGGCATGGTGGTTTCCAGGTGGCACGGTGGTTAAGGGTGCTGGACTCCCACATGGCCGACTGTGGTTTGAGTCCCGGATCTAGTGGCTTGCTTTCTCTCTCTCTCTCTAAATTAAAATAAGTAAATAAAGTAAACATTTTTTTTTAAATGTTAGATTTTACTGCAATATCCTTTTCTCCTATACTCCTGGTACTATGACTTTTCATGGCTTCTACTCGTCTCCTGAATGCTTTATTTATTTATTTATTTATTTATTTATTTGCCAGAGAGCTGTGCCCTCTCCAAAGTCAGAGAAGCAGCAGAAAAGCACACACACACACACACACACACACACACACACACACACACACCTGGTAATGCTATGTTTCTCGATCTGGGTCCAGCACTCAAGCTACATGCAGTATCCAACCTTAACCACCAGGACAAGGGTATGCGCACTCACCCGAGACAGGTGGAGAGGCAGAGGTAGAAAGCATCCCCAGTGAGGCATAGTCATTTGCGATCCCTTCTCCTCCACTGAAATGCTTTTTTAACTGTCATATCACTACATACTCTGGACTACAAGGAAGACTTAACACAGCAGACCCCAATGCCTGATTCTCCAAAGGGGAGGTCCTCACCTTGGAACAGCCAGGGGTGAAGGCTCCAGGGACTCCAAACAGCACACCTTTCTTGCCCTTGAACAGCTCCGCCAGGTTCACCTTGTTCCCCGGCTCCCCTTCAAACACCTCCACGGAGGGGAGGGCATCTCCCACCTAGAGGGAAACACTGCCCTTGTCTCCATGGCCTGGCACAGAAATGGCCCCGTGTGTGCGTGTGTGTTAGGGAGTTGGGGGTTCTCTACACAAGGTAGAGAAGGGGGAGGCCAAGAGATGGGCTGCGAAAGAGAGCCAAGGGAAAATACAGAGCCTGGTAGGTGTGCCTGCTAGGGCCAGGGTTGAAACCCATTAGGAAATTTGGCCCTGTCAGAGTTTCCAGCGGTCCCTCCCTCTCTCCCCACACCCTATGTTACCCCACACCCAGCAGGTCTCATGGTGGCCCTGCTCCACTTAATGACAACAGGAAAGGAAAGAAGGCCTCCTAAGTGTCACAAGAAGTTGTGCAAACAAGCAGTTCAGGTTACGGGAAAAGAGCAGGATAAATGGGGGTGGGGGAGTTCGGGAAGAGGCCCTAAAAACATGGAGGAAGGGGATCCTGACCATGTCTGAGAGTCTCATCCCCACCAGAGAGAAAAGAACAGGCAGTAGTAGGAGGCATAGTTGGAGGGAGCGGGGAGACTCCCACCCGCAGGTGTGGAGTACAGAGCTGTCTTAAAGGGGAGGATCAGTACCTGGGCACATGGGAGGCCTTCGGGGGCCAAAGCAGGGAGACATATGGAAAGACAGGGTGGGAGAAGGGTGAAGGTGGGCTGAGGTTTCAGAGGGTTTGGGAGGGGAAGGGGATGGCTCTAAAAGATGGTGACAGACTCGGCTAAAAGATGGAAATTAGCATCCGGAGTGGAGGTGAGGTCCTGCAGAATGGGGAAGACAGCCTGGGGGCTCTAAGAAACAACTGTTTTCACAAAGCTGGGGGAAAAGATGCCCAGTTCCCCCAACTATTACTGCGACAGTGTGGAGGAGTGTACAGTAGGGGAACACATAGGAGCCAGGGGTTGAAAAGTGTCCCTGGAGCAAAGGAAAATGGTTCCACGAGGTGGGGGAGACCATAGCGTTCAATCGCCTGAACACGGTAGAGACCCATCCATCACAGGGTATCTATCACAGACTGAGTGTGAGAAGAGCAGCGGGGAGAGGGCTGGAGAGGCTCAGGGGCGGTCCCAGGAGGAGGCACAAGGCCTCTAAAATTGGTGAGAATGGTGGCGCAGCCACGGGGTCTTACAGAAGGGATGCGATGAGCAGGCTGCAGGAGAAGCCTCTAGGGAGATGCAAAGGGTTGCAAAGGAGCAGGAAAGAGCGTCACCCTCAGACAAGCGGGACCGGGGACAGCCTGGAGGAGGGTGGGGGCAGGGTGGGGGAGGGTCAGGCCCGGCGGGGCCAGCGGTCACCTTGATCGGGGCCATGG